GATCTGCCAGATGTCAGTGACAATGACTCTGTGTATGGCTAGAAAAATACTTGCCTTTATTCATGCACCTATTCTCATATGCAAAATAAATGTTAGTACACCTTACAGATTTATTTGTAGTATTTTTTTTCTATACTACCACACAATTTTCAAGAATAGGAACATTTGTTTAATTTCTGCTTATTTTGGGGCTTATTCAGAGAAACACCAGCTGCTTTTTTTAGGGCTTTTTTTGGGATGACTGTTTGCTTGTTTGCTCGGCGGCACCTGGCTACTCTGGCGTGTGTATGCGTGCAAAAGAGGACGACGTGATGCGGTGTGAGTCGCAGGTTCGTGGGACCACGTCGTTGTCACGCTTCCAGGATTGTGACGTCACTGTGCAACTCGGTGCCCTGCAATTTAAACTCATTAATGCAAATATTGCTCTATAACAAATTATTTACTTGGAATATATGAATCCTTGACCATGTACTATATCATGCTTCATGGAGCATTTGAAAAAAAGAGCACTGAAGCTACAAATCAGATGGCTCAATCAATTCAAGGTTCGTGGTAAAAGTTTAAAACTAAGACAAATAAAACCAGAAAAATTGAAAGTAACAAAACGCGACGTTTACCCCCTGCCACGGATTGATGATGCCTTAGACCGTCTACGCCATGCCCAGTTCTTTACATCATTAGATCTCAAGTCAGGGTACTGGCAAATTGAAGTTGACGAGGGCGACCGCGAAAAAACCGCATTCGTGACTCCCGACGGGCTCTATGAATTTAAAGCTCTGCCTTTCGGTCTCTCTTCCGCTCCCGCCACATTTCAACGCATGATGGACACTGTACTAGCTGGACTAAAGTGGCAGACGTGTCTTGTATACTTGGATGACGTCGTTGTGTTTTCAAGCACGTTTGAGGAACATCTTTCAAGGCTAAAAGGTGTCCTCACTGCAATAAGGAGAGCAAACCTTACTATCAAGCCCAAAAAGTGCTACTTTGACTATCAGGAACTCACGGTTCTCGGCCACGTGGTGAGCCCTGGGGGTATTCGACGAGATCCGAAGAAGTTGGCTGCCGTTGCCGATTTCCCTTGTCCTGGAGACAAGAAGGCTCTTCAGCGATTCCTCGGACTCTGTGGCTACTACCGCCGTTTTGTCGAAGGATTTTCAAAAATTGCGGAGCCTCTTACAAGGCTGACATGACCAGATGTAACCTTCGTATGGACGGAAGAACAACAACAAGCATTCGTAGAGCTACGTAATCAACTGCAGACAGCTCCAGTGTTGGCACAATTAGACGATACTGCCGACACTGAGATTCACACGGACGCCAGCAACGTAGGAATCGGAGCCATTCTTGTTCAATGCCAGGACAGGCGCAGAGCGTGTGATCGCTTACGCGAGCCGCAGTCTCACAAAAGCAGAGGCTAACTACTCTACCACCGAAAAAGAGTGCCTAGCAGTCGTTTGGGCCATTAGCAAGTTTCGACCCTACCTATACGGCCGGCCATTTCGAGCTGCCAGTGACCACCATTCGCTCTGCTGGCTTGGCAATCTACGGGATCCATCAGGCCTCCTCGCCCACAAGAGCCTCCGCCTTCAAGAGTACGACATAACGGTGGTCTACCGATCAGTACATAAGCATACAGATGCTGACTGCCTGTCTCGTGCTCCCATTTCCCCGACGTCATCTGACACTGAACACGATTTACCGTTTCTTGGCATCGTCGATGTGGTCCGGATGGCTGAGCTTCAACGTGAGGACACTGAGCTACTACCTGTCATCCAGCATCTTCAAGGAGAAGACGTTATCGTCCCACGCCGGCTCTCACGTGGATTGATATCGTATTGCCTGCGGAACAATGTTCTCTACAAGAGAAATCTTGAGAGCAGCCAGGAAACTTTTCTCCTCGTCATTCCAATGGCACTGCGTGAAAAAGTTTTGCAGGCGTGCCATGACGATCCTTCTGCCGGTCACTTAGGCTTTGCTAGGACATTAGCGCGCATCCGACAAAGGTACTACTGGCCACAGCTGTATTCGTCCGTTCAGCGGTATGTCCGCATCTGCCGTGACTGTCAGAGGCATAAAGTTCCACCCGCAAAGCCCGCCGGCTTCCTCCAACCTTTAGATCCACCTCGAGCACCGTTTCAGCGAGTGGGAATGGATCTTCTTGGTTCATTCCCTACGTCATCCTCAGAAAATAAGTGGATTATCGTTGCAACCGACTATCTGACTCGCTATGCAGAAACGAAAGCTGTGCCTAGTGGACCACGACATTGTTTTGCTTCATGGTGCACCTGCTGTTCTCATAACCGATCCCGGAGCAGCATTTATGGCAGAGTTATTGCGACAAGTTACTAAGCTGACGCACACTAACCACCGGAAAACAACAGCTTATCATCCCCAAACGAACGGCTTGACCGAGCGGTTAAACAAAACAATGACCGACATGCTATCTATGTATGTTGATGTAGAGCACAAAACGTGGGATAAAATTTTGCCGTACGTCACGTTTGCTTATAACACCGCTGCGCAAGAGACCACATACCTAACATCATTCGAGCTTGTTTATGGCCGTCGTGTCACAACACCGTTAGACACTATGCTCCCCGTAGACCAGGACACCAGCGGAAATGAGGGCGTTGACGACTTCGTTGGGAAAGCCGAGGAAGCCCGCCAGCTTGCACGGAACCGCATTCACACGCAGCAAGATGTCGACACTCGCCGTTACAACCAAGGCTGAAGGAACGTCCACTATCAACCAGGTGACTATGTATGGGTGTGGACTCCAGTTCGACATTGTGGGCTATCGGAGAAGCTATTGCGACGCTACTTTGGCTCTTATGAAGTTGTGCGCTGCCTCAGTGACGTGAATTACGAGGTAGTTCCTCGAAGCTCGTATACCAGTTTAAACCGAAGACGTCCATGTCCAGAACTAGTTCATGTAGTATGGATGAAACCGTACCACGCCCGCGAGTTATGAATACTTCGAACTTTTTTATTATCCACAACAGCGTGGGCTTATGTTTTTTTTTTTTTTCATTGACGTGACCATCCTTTTTTATGGCCATTTCTAGCATCTTAGTCAATCGACCGGGACGGTCGCTCTTGAAAGGGGGGAATCGACGCAAGGTAGGCTGGCAACTATAGTGACCAATCTCTGAGGAGGATAACGATGTAGTTCTGTGGGCGCGTGCTCTGGTGTTCGTGCTTTTGGCCTTTGGTCAGGAAAGTAAACGCCCTGCTTTTGTGCCTGCGTCCCTGGGCCTTTGTGACAATATAAGCATCTATTATTACAAGAAATCTGACAAAGTTGTAAGAAATTAATAGCAGTACTTTCCAAGTGAAGAGTTTCATTTTAAGGCTTTACGTGTTACCTGAAAGGAGAAAAGGTTGGCGCTGCGCCAACACAAACAATTGGAAAAAAAAGTCATGCCGAAATCGAGTCAAGACCAATATAGCTAAAATTTGCTACTTCAGTACGATGTCATCGTGATATTGCTACGGTATCTCGCAAATTCAACGCATGGTCAAAGATGTGCCACTCTTGGAAGCCGTGCGAAACCAGGTCAAGGCTGGTGCTTTCTTGAACACACATTGCAGAGCGTCGCGAAAAAACACGTGCAAAGTTTTTCTAGCTTCGGGGGCCAAAGTTGGTGCAGTGAAGCACAATAGTAGATGCATGTCCTGTTATAACAGGTGTGGAGTACAAAGTGCCCTGTCTTGTGGCTGTTGCTGCATAGAATGCTGCGAGAACGTGGGAGCAGAGACTAACGGTGTTTGTTCCCGCACGTGTGTCCACTTGGCCATATATTGCAAATGTCATGGATGTACACCAGAACTAAGGCAGATGGTAATCTTGGAAAGGGAAGTTCGTATAGCACAGGCGTTCTTTATGAGTGACAAGTGCGTAATCATGCCTTTTCTGACCTTGCTTCTTAAGAAGAGTAATCTCAGAATTGAAGTTGAATTCAATCAATCACATATTCGTATGTACTTTCACTTTTTTTCTTGTTCAATATTGGGTGGGAAACTAGAAATTCAGAGTTATTGGTGCACCAGCGGGAACTAAAAACATTTTAAGGTCGTTTCCTATTGTTTTGTAACTTATCATGATGTCTTATCGCAACTGTCGTATCACAATTAGGATAACTGTCATTTGGGCATGTTAGTGTGAGTTCATGAAGACAAAAGCGATACTATAGAGCGGAACATCAGAAAGAACACCGGATGGAGCACTTGTCACGAGAGGATTGCCGTGGTAATAAAGATTTGAGTACTGGCACTTCTTGACAAATTTTATTGTCTGCTGCTCGCAGATAGGGAAGCAATTAGCAGGCTCAAGAACTTAAAGCATTCTAGGATAATATTTCTCGCTATGTTAAGACATGATGATGAAGAAATGAATGTCACATTGCATAATTTGTTTCAGAGCGCTGCTATTAGGCGCCCGATGCTGAGTTGAGTGTTGTCGTCGCATTCGGTGGCATAACCGAGAGACATGAAAAGAATAAAATGTGAAAAAATACAAACAAGGTTCGAACTCCGTGGCTGTCGAATAATCTACCAAAGAGCTACACTGGTGCTTGAAAATTACTGCAGAAGGACCCTATTTAGGCATCATGTCGGGGAAGGAATTGTATTAAGGGATGTAACCAGCGTGGTAGGAGAGTCAAATAGCAATCAGTCATCACAGAATTCTCTCTGCATGAGTGTGTGGTTCGTACCCACTGCAAAGTTGTCAGCCCTAATTATTCGCGCTCATCAGCCACATGCATCATCGACATAATTAATTGCACGTGTAGCTAGCTAGCTCATCTGCAAGTACTGGCGTGGTGGGCATTGTCACAAAAATATTATTTATGCCGCAGTCGATACCTTGTGGAAAGCCAAAACTTGTAAAGCATTTGGTCTTTCTTCGTTGTGCTCAGATAGGCAGTATCGTAATGGTTTGGTGAAATTCTTGTGTAGCTTGATGCATGACCTTTGATATGTGCCCTGTGTCACTGCAGGGCTAGTGTACGAGGAGACCACCAACTTTGTGCCCCGACCTGCTGCCAACTCTGACGTGTAACAAGCTGTCAAATGGAGGAGGGCAGTTCGAGCTTTGTGGGAGCATCCCCAGTGCACTGCTTTTTGCTGAACCACGAATTTACTTCGAGTGCCTTTGTTCTTTTCTGCATATACACATGTGTCGTATGTGTCCAAAAGTGGTTGTCAGTGCTGCTAAGTAATAAAGCATAGCAACGGGCGTTGTTTCAAAAGTGCCTTTTACGCATATTCTTATCCTCAAATGCGTCGCTACTTGCTGAAAAATTTTTCCATGCTGTTAAGTCGCACCACCGTGCGGACGTATTGTTGCGTGTTAGTCACACACTATAGTTTGTTTAACAAAGTTTCTTGGTGAATTGTCGACTGTCGCAGACTTCCACATAATAAAATAACACAGAAATACCCATTTATTTTGAATCACTTACTCTTCCTTCACCCAGTAATCACCAAACGGTGGGCCATACTTGCTGCTGGTAACTCTCAGCCATATAATTGGCCACACTCCTGTTACTTCTATGCGATGTGCTGTACAAAAGTGAATGTGTCCTCGAGTTTGACTGAATCACACAAACTTTCGGTCACTGCTTGTTCAGGTGCATACGGTTCTCAGGAAGTAATTATTGTTATTTTTTGTCTTCGATCTGTGTATGAGTGTTGTGCTCAACACAGAAACTGCATGTCACATGCAGCTCTGCTGAACAAGTATCTTGCACTTGACACTATTTTGCTTGGTTGTGTAGAGACCATGGTGTAGTGTGTATGTGCGACTTGACGCAGAAAGAAAACAGCTGATGATTCAGTGCTACTTTCAGCATACTTATTGGGCGTGTGGAGCTTGTGTGCAAATTCAGAGGCATCAGATGTGTGTGTTGTACCCCTACCGAGGCTTATACAAATACAGAACGTTCATTTAAACAATCTTTCTTGTAGTTCTGGACACCAAGCTACCTCCTTGGTCTTGCTTTACGCAGTACGCTTTATGTCCGAATAGCTGTGCAGTTTAGCGTTAGCATCACAGTGGAGAGTTTAAAAAATGGCATTACCGTGCCGCAAACGTTCAGTTTAGTGGGGTGGTAAGCTTGGGCTGTGGCGTCAGATAGCAGAGGGCAATCATGGTAAAAAACTGAAAAAAAAAAAAAAAATTAAACAATGTCAGCGTGTATCCCCATCCATGGATATTAGTACTTTTTTCAGAATAGTAAAAGTAAGTAAATATGAACCACGCACCAAAAGCGAAAATATTTATTTTGCAGATATTTTTACACCAATCTTCTAGTTAGCCATCGAGACGTTCAAAAAGGGAATCGATCTCAACTTCGCAAAGGTATTCGTAATATTTGGTCTTCGAAGATACCTTATGGAACACGAAAGGCAAATATTAAGTAGATGTTGATTTCTGAAATATTACCAGTTTAGAAACCTCACAGTGCTACTTTTGTGTGAAGGAAGTGCTTATTTTGAAATGAAGTCGCGTTTTAGAGTTTCACATCACTTTAGCACACTTCAAATTACCAGTCTCAAAGTGGGAACTGTCACGTCACTGTTGCCGTGTACAACGTTGCCTGGCTTTACTGCGCAACCGTCAACACTAGTAGCCACAAAGCAAAGTAGTGAGAGTCATGGCAGCAACAATGGCCATTGAAGAATTTCCTTCCGTGGCCTCTGAGATGGCATGCGTGCTTGGTTCAACTGGGCCCTTTAGATGGCACGTCCTGTCCAGTTTAACCAAGTGAAAATTGAACTTTTAAAATACTTGGGTCATTCCCCATAGTAACATTCGGTGTTTTTTTTTTCCATGAATCAAACAGAAGCTAACAAGTAGCACTTTATTACGCCTCTTGATGCACAGGAAGTTATTTATTTAGTGTAGCTAGCCCGATTACTATTGATTAATTTTAGTCGATAACTCTGACATCGTTGGATCATTTTCCAAATGACCTACTTGTGGCACTTCTGTTCTCGTGCATTTACCTTAATTTCTCTATAAGTAGGGCACTCCTGTTAATAACATTGTTTTTTTAGACATTATACATTGAGCTTTCACTCTGACAAATTGTTATTTGCTTTCAGTGAACCTTGAAGGGGACAGGGTTAGGGAAAATATTGAAAAATACCATTTTTTCTCATTTTGCCTTATTTAAAATCTGTGGCCATTTCTGAACCTGAATCGCTCGTTTGTTTGTGTCGGTCTTCTTTAGGGGCGAAGCTCCTTAAGGCGTGGATCGGTCGTCTCTGATGTATGTAGTTATAGTAGGTAGCCACCTCTAGTTTAGCTCTTCGAGTGTTCACTAGATGGCGGTACTTGTAGTTGATTAAAAGATGCGAGATGTTATGAAACTAGATGGGCGGTTCTTGTAGTTGGTGATCAAAGATGCGAGACGTTAATAGGAATGATGCCACATATGGCACGTGTAATCAGTGGAAGGCAATGGTTTGGAAACATACGCTAGGGGGCGCGGTGTAATAAAGCCCATTCGCTGTTGGCGTGCACTGAGAGCATTTCACCTTTAATTGTGGGGCAAATTGCACGGAATAGTTTCACGGTTTACCGACGATTCCTTCCGGAGCTTCGCACCACTCATCATCATCATTTACCCCGTGAATATGCTGCGATTTTTTAAACTAATTACATATTTCAAAACTTTTGCGGTAGCCTGCCGTCCCCCATTCTTACATAGCAAGGCATTCCTTGCTGTCGAAGCATCATAGGTAAATAAATAGAGAAGTTACAGTTTGCAAGCTGTAGTGCATTTGGCGCATTCAGAAAAGAATGGGCCCAGAACCGCAAAAACGAGAGAAGACAGAAGCATCAAGCTTTCTGTCAGGAAATTTATGTTTGGCCGGGGATGTCTTAGGGGTGTCATCATTGAGCTTCATCGATTGACACGTCCCGGATGGCTCTGGACGGCCCCAGATTCTGGCGCCATATTCGTTTTTCTTGGGGACCTACCGGAAGCTCCACCCACTGGCCCAGAATCGCTCGGACGCATGTTTGTTTTTTGGTGCTTGGCGGATTGCGGGCAGCTCGAGACTGTCTGAACGATTTCTTTCTGGCAGCTGGCAGACGACAGCGTGAGGCGCATGCCTGTGCGGCCATCTTAAGTTAGACCATGGTCCTCAAGATGGCGGGTGCGCAATGGGTTTCTCTCTGGCCGTCCCAATCGCATGAACAGAGCGTATTTCGAGAGGTGGGCTTGGCCCACTCTTTTCTCTGCACTGCGGCGCTCTTTCATGTTGTTTAAAAGGCTGCTGCACTGTTGGCGAAGCTTGCATGTGGCAAGAAAAAAAAAATGGTTTTGCACTTTTATATAACTTCATGCTCACTTGGGAATGTCAGGCCAAAGTGTACGAGAGGCAAAGTCAATGCTTGCGCGTAAATATATTTTCAAAGGAACTTTTTTTGCTGGAGATTTACACCGCCCATGTTAGAGCACTTATAATTGCGATGCCTCTGCTAGAGATTCGCATGTACTCGATACTATACTTCGAAGTTCACGGGTAGTATAGTAGCGAGGGCACCGGCGAAGAAGAAAATGACAGCTCAATCAACAAGTGAAGTCAGAAGAGTACCGTGCTCCACGCTGATGGGTTACGCTCGATTGAAAGGGTTTCTTTTTCTTTCCTTTCATGGAACTAGCCCTGCTTTTCATTATGCCATTTCAAAAATACTCCCGTCCACTCGCAGAAGCAGGATACAGGGAGGAGGGTGCAGGCGGTCGCCATGCGTCTAGGCTATGTCTAGACTGAACGTTGCTGGTTCTGCGGCGACCGCGGGCTGGGTACAGGCAATCTTTTGTCACTTATGGTCAGTCATTTGCACTGTGGCCTTTACGGTGTTCAATGTATACGTTGGGAAATGTAACAACAAACATCGAGGTACTTTGCTTGTTTAAGAAGTACGCAACACGCATTCAAACTTTGTTATACATTGTATGAAGCACTGCGGTGTTACATAGCAGTGACAATTTGAACTTTTTCTTTCTTTAGTAGCTTAGCTCGGCGAATACTTAGTTTTCATTAGAAATACGCCATTATGTGACATGTGTGACCCTTCGATTTAGATGCAGTCGAGAGCACAGTAAGTGAACACAACACTGATGCTGCCTTTGTGCTATGAAAACATAATCAAAATTCAGATAACAAAAAAATGAGGCAATCACTACTCAGGCACTTTCACTGTGAAAGACGTGCGGAGTGAATGTAGGTAGGCTAATCGAAGTCTTCTACAATATTCCGGCAAAATTACTTCTCACGTACCTTATTTCATTCACATGAACAGGGCATTCATAGTGTAACTGCGCTTCGGTTGACAACCTCATATATATCCATAACAGTAAATATATGAGTCAGGATAGGAGAGCAAAACGATTCAACCATAAGAATTAGGCCAGTTTTCCCCTATACAAGTCGCCAGAAGGGAGGAATGCTAGAATATCTTTATAATTCTCAAATAGAGGTATTTAGCAATGTGCCAAAATAGACTGTAATAAAAAAAGTAATACTGCCACAGACGAATTGACACCTCTTTACATTTACCTATCAGAAAAGTGCAGCAGTTGCCATGCTTTTCTTTTTTAATGGGACCAAAATAAGTACAGTAACAAAAAAAATACTTTCCTTCAGTTTAGCCAGAAGATTCTGGCAGTAATTCTTACTCATACGCTGGGGAAAAACACAAAAAACATGCACACGCTGGAATCCCGTGCGCACTGCTGCCTGCTGTGGTCTCTGCAGGATGGATGGATGTATCCGGCTGTGCCCTTTAGATCAAATGGTGGCTCACGCCACCTAGCCATTTAGTTAAGTATTATGACGGTGTGTTGAAGGATTGAATTTCACTCGTGCCTTGATTGCAACTACCAATCAGTTGCCCCACTCTTGGTTACTTCTACCCTTTTAAAGTCTATTTTGCCTTCACTGTCCCTAAACCCCATTGCTTTAAGAAATTCCGCGCCATTATTTTGGACTATGAAGTGGAGCCGTGTACAGAACATTATCAAATGTTCAGCCGTTTTCTCGTCTCCACATGCACTGCATAGCGTGTCTGTGCCTTCATATTTGGCTCGGTACGTCTTGGTCTGCAATACTCCCATTCTCGCCTCGAACAACAGAGAAGCATACCCCAGGAATTTTCGTTAATCTTTTCTTTTGCAATTTACTGCTTGAAAGGTGGGTAGGTCTCCAGTTATGATTTTGCAAGCATTCCAATCTTCCACATGTCCCGCTCTGTTTCCTTCACCTTCTTTCTAACCGATGTTTTCTTTTGGCTTAGTATTCTCTATTTGTCTGAATACTTGCTTGACAATTTTCGAGTTCACTTTCTACATTTAGTATCAACACCCTTCATGTGCAACTAGCTGAAAACTTTCCTAGCACAATGCTCCTCTCCCATTTTTCTCAATCGCTTCTC